TGGCTATCAGCTCTGAGGTAGGGATATTAGATGAACTTCATACCAAGAAGTAAAATCTGTGCAAGTGTTAAAACAGAGTTCCCATACCCAAACTTTCTGGATTTGCGGACGGGAGGGGGGTGGAATGGTTCCATGTGAGTGACAGGCAAGCACATGCCTCTTGCACAAATGGAGCATGCATCTGCTCGCACAAATGGGGTTACATGTGCACACACAATTGCCTGCTGCTTCTGTGGCCTGGTTCCAAACAGCACACAGACTGGGGATCCCTGTATTAAAGTATATATTTGTTCTTGTAGTTTACTGTATGCCTTTGGTAGAGTCAGATAGTCAGTTTGGTTATAGTGGTTAAGTCATCAGACTAGAAATTGAAGACTGGGCATTCTAATTCTGCCTTAAGTATAAGCCAGTTGAGTAGTCTTAGCCCAGACACTTTCTCTCAGCCCTAAGAAGGAGGCAGTGGCAAACCACTTCTGAAAAATGTCCAGTTGTCAGGAGTCAACACTGACTTGAAGATACTGTACATGGACATGAGCGCATGCACACACACATTTCGGAGACTCAAAATTAAACTCATTTTAATGAATTTGTGTGTGATAATTTTTAAATAGCAGTTCTCCCTGAGAGCTACAGTAATTAGACAGATAAAAAGTATATTAAAATGGAAGGGAGGGAAGGAGGCAGGGAAGGAAGGAAGGAAGGAAGGAAGGAAGGAAGGAAGGAAGGAAGGAAGGAAGGATTTTATGGTTTTGACAGTGTTCAGTAGGAAAGTCAAATTAACTTTAATTCCCAATTAAACCAAATGAAGTTTAGATTATTCCTATAGGATAGTCATATATCTTGTGTGGTATCACATTACTTAATAGACTTCATTTAAAACTCTAGGTCCGTGATGGCGAACACGTGCCAGAGAGGGCACGCAGAAGAGCGCTGTTGCCAGCTGCTCTTCTGGTGTGTGCTGGCCAGGTGGTCTTCGCAGGCACCGGAGCACTGGGAAATGGCCTGAAAACGGTCCGAAAAACAACCAAAAAACAGGCATTTTCCGAGCCTTTTTCAGGCCATTTTTTGGGCTGTTTTCAGGCTGTTTTCTGTGCCAAAACCAACCCAAAAAACAGCCTGAAAACGGCCCAGAAAACAGCCAAAAAAACCCGGCATGTGCACGCTGTCCAGTTGGTTTTCGGGTTTCTGGCATTCCAGTGCGCGCGCATGCACGCACATTCTGGTTTGGGCACTTGGTGACAAAAAGGTTCGCCATCGCTGCTCTAGGTAGTCGTGTAATATAATAATAATGACAAGAACAAGAACAATTTATAAACTCATATGCTTCCCAACTATCAACGGCTCTATAATTTCCCTACAGTCTTTCTGAGGGAATAGTAAAGAAGCACTGCTGATGATTTCAGAGGGGCCAAACCAGAAAAATATAGTAGTCCTATGCTTTTATTAAAGGGTGCAGATTTTGCTTCTGCTTCGAGGTTTTTCAGGATGACTACATTTAACTCATTTTAAAAAAACAAGGACTAAAATCAAATAAGGACCACGACAGTATAAAAGTAGCAGAGAAAGTTCAGCATCACTGCTGAGTGAGGTGAAAACAAATCCTTTCTGCATTAAGGGACTTTCAGATCATTTTTGAAACAACATTCTAAAGCACCTCAAAGCTTTTGAAAAAGGCATTTTGCAAATGAAGCAATTTGACTTGGGAAGCTACTTCAAAAGATGTCCCTGGCTGTCTCTAAATGTGTGTGCAAAGCGCAGCCACTTTGCTTCTGTGGCAATGCCAGTGAAAATGTTGCTTGGGCATGCAGAGGCAGGTAATTGGGGACAGATTTGCAAAAGAGCTGCTTTCATGCTTCAAAAGGGGTTTTTTGTTCATCATAGGCTTTGCAAAACCCTAAGGCAGTGATGGCTAACCTTTTTGCCATCGCGTGCCAAAAGCGGAGGGAGGGGGGGTTACCTGTGTACGTGCCCACACCCATAATTCAATGCCCCCCATGCTCCCCCCACTTTTGGCACGCAATGGCAAAAAGGTTACCTGAGGGCCCGTTAGGCCCGTTTTTCGCCCTCCCCAGGCTCCAGAGGCTTTCTTGGAGCCTGGGGAGGGCGAAAATGGTCTTCCCCACCCCACCCCCCAGAGGCCCTCCAGAAACCGGAAACGGCCCATTTCCTGACTTCTGGTGGGCCCGAAAATCAGCTGGCCGGCCCGTGCATGCACGCTGGAGCTGAGCTAGGGCAACGCTCGCATGCCTACAGATACGGCTCCGCGTGCCACAGGTTCGCCATCCCGGTCCTACAGTATATTCTTAGCCATAGCTGAGATTTGGTCTGCACACAGTTTCTATTATCTGCAGTTCTATTCGAACTGCATTGTCAAGACATACACATTTTGATAGAAAGCAATGCATTCTCCCCTCCTAAACTATTTTTATTAACTATTGTCTTAGTCATTGGTTTTATTAACAGTATACCTCAGGCCGCTGTATTGGTCAGCATCAAATGGATGGCTTGCATATTCTTCAATTCCAATATAAGAAAAGTTGCTTTTTAACTGGTTCCCTCTTGGAATTACAGCAGCCAAGAAAAAAGTGAGAGCTTTGGCATCTTATGTGACAAAATGTAAAGCCTTCTATCAAGGCCAACTTATAAATATTTAGCCCTATAAAGAAATTAAATTATGTGCCCTATAGTAAAAATAGGCCAGAAAAGCTTTTAGTGTCACTAGCTGCAAATTGAAGTCATTTGTCTAGGAGGGTCAGGTGTCACTTTCTGGTGAGGATTTAACTGTGATCCACGTGAAGGAAGATTGATACAACAAAGGGAAATGAGCAATGCGATTTGCATATTGCTGGTAATTAGGAAAAATGTAAGCAGGAATGTTTGTGTGAAATGGTGTGAAACAGGAGGTGTTGGCAGTCTTGTGTATTTAAATCTGATTGCTTGATATAGAAATGAGCGTTTGTGTATATCAATGAAAGTGATTGGTATTGCTTTCAGCTCAGTGTTAATGAAAATTGCTTGTTCATTTTGGAGATGAATATAATATTTATAATTGTTGGCTTTATTCTTGGGAATGTAAATTTCATTGGTCCGCTTTCCTGTAACTTTCTGCAAGTAGCATGAGTTGGGAGGTAGTCCTTGTTTAGTGACTGTCTCATTTAGCAACTGTTTACAGTTATGACAATAATGAAAAAGTAACTTTGTAGATCTGTAAAGCAAAAGAAAGCTGCTTTTACCTCATTTTTACAGGAAGATCATAATCTGTTTGTTTTTTTAATATTGTTATGTTTGTCTTTTCAATGCTTAGACAGCTATATAAATTAGTCTAATAAATAAACTAATTGCATATTACTCTCTGCAGAATTCTGCATATAGAATTGCACAATTCTATGCAAACCGAGTGGACCACTATTACTTATTCTGCACTTTTCTCATTATTATAATGGTTCATTTCCTAAATCTAGAAAAGGAACATTTGAGGAAGTATCATGTTATTTTTTTTAAAAAAAAAAGAGGAAGAAACCCTAAAGAGTTGTAAGAAACAAATTATGTTTTGAAATTGTGATAGCATTTTAGTGGAATGGCTAAATTTTAGTTAGAAAAGTTGAGGTCCCAAACCTCCTCACACAGAAATGTCTGGGTTTATGTACCTTGGTCAAGCTTTCGGTTGTAGGATAGATTTGCTATTGTTACTACCATGTTTCCCTGAAAATAATATATTTTATATTTCTTATATGTTATATTTTTTTGAACCCTGAAATAAGCGCTTGGCGTTATTGCCATGCACTCAAAAGCCCAATAAGACATCCCCTTATTAACAGGGGATGTCTTATTTTGGGGAAACAGGGTATTTATTTTCCTGATGGAGCCTCATCTGGCATCACACCTCATGCCTTTTGTGAGAAAGTGATGGCTGTCACCAACTGTGCTTAAGTTTTGCTGGTTGTTGGAAAAAACAATTCTAGTATATAACCTCTTGGCCTTATACTGTAGAGTCATTTGACTTCTCCACTTATAGGTAAATCAAACTTGCAAGAAATCATCAAAATTGTAAGTTTATTTAGAAAAAAAGATATACGATATAAAAAGCTCTTTGTAACTTTCACTGCCAAATTTCAAGGACTTAATGAAGGGAAACAATTCCAGATTGTTTCGATTGTGAAAGAAAACAGCACCTTGATTAAAAGAAAATGCCACAGGTAATGTAATGCTCCAAGTAGACCACAAGATGCCAGTGATCTACTGCAAGTCTTCCATCAGTAGATATGTTGGAGATTTCCAAATTAATACATCAATTCCAAGAATTTTTCCCATGGGAAAATTCATGCACAGACGAAAGCTGATACTAAATAATAAAAATAGTGTATTTAGATCTATATAGGAAAGAAAAAATGTCAAAGAACAGTTCTGAACTAAAACTTATCTCCTAATTCTGCTTCCTCTTTTCTTACCCTTCTGCCCTGTTATGCCAAAGTTCTACCATCTGTAAAAAGAAGAGTTTTTTTTCCTCTAACAGAGGGAAATTGACTATTTCATGTCAAATGATCTCTTCTTCAGGAAGATGTGGATTGACTGAGCATGTCTGGTGTGTGGCTGACAAGTGGCAGCATGGAAAATGCACGCAAGCCATCAACACAGCTGTATTTATCCAGCAGGAAGGCAGCATTGAATTTAAGATCACTTTCATCCCCAGGAAGATGAGACACATTCAGTTCCCTAAGCTCTCCTATTTTAAGGATAAATTATTTATGGTTTGGAGGGTGGGCAGAAAGACCAGTTATCTTTTTAGTTAAATACAGAATTTAGTAGTTACTTGAAACAACTCAAATGGACTATAGTTTAGCCTACTTGCCTTTAAAATTCCTAACACATGAAACATGTTGACTTTACTATATTCTGACTTCAAGAAAGTAAGGGGGATTTAATTCTAAACTTATTGCTTATATATTTTGTATGAAAGCAACCTCTTTTTTTTTTTTGAAATATTTATTTCCCCTTTACAGAAACCGAAACAAAAGGACTGGCATCCTCCCGGAGGCTTTATTTTGGGACTTTGGGCTCTAATTATCATGGTCTTCTTTAAAACCTATGGAATCAAGCACATGAAACACATCTTTTAGAACTTCAAAGCAACAGAGTTTGAACTGTGAATGTCTCCATACCTGAAAATATTTGAATGGATAATGTCGTGAACTTGTCTGATCGAAATACTTCGTCACATTTTGCTCCATCTCTTAAAATGAACTTTAATTTAAAAAAAAAAAATTTTTTTTTCATTTTTAAAACACAATGTAATTTCATAAAAGGGCTGAAGTTATTCCACTTGGAACTTTCTACCTGCAAAAATCCACTAGTGGAAAAACAAATCTGTACTGTACAAGGCTACTTTGAAAGAAGACAAGCAGTTAAGAAACATCTTTCCTTCAAGATCACTGCAACTCTACAATACAAGGAAGCATCAAGAATGCTACCATGAAGACAGACTCTAGATGAAAAAAATCCTCTAAGTATACTATTGTAAGTGGCAGCATTACTATCTTAGAAAATTTGTTTCTTCTTCTTTCTGTCATATCTGAAATGACACTGTATTATTATTTTTCATTATGTAGAGCAGCTGATGAGTAGCCTTTATTTCTATAATAGCCAGACAAGAATCTCTTGTTACGGAAAAGAATGGTTGGATCAAACAGTGGGAGGGAATAGATGAATGCAGAGGAAACTCTATAGACAATTTATTAAAATATTTTTAAATCAATGAACATCTTCTGAGCTGTACTGAAAAATAGTCATGTCTATTATTATTTATAAAAAATAGTTCCCCTGTCATTGAAGCAAAGGTTTAGACAATATGCGGAACCTTATTTAAGATGACTTCTTATTGATATATACTTAAGTCACTTTGCAGATTTTTGCTGTATGTATTGAATATCTGCTCAACAAAACAAAAATACTCTCAGGGAATATTGATTAGCACTGTTTCAATTCAGCCTCTTAAATCAAACCTTTGTCTGCAGCTATTATATTTCTTGGATTGCATGACTCATTCAAATTTACAACCAACAGCAAATTCATCAGTTCTTCAGCAAATATGCAGTTAGATTTTCCACATCCAGTCCGCTAGCCTGATGGATCCAGATTACATTCAAAAGTCATGAGCATAAAAAACATGTTTAATAAGCTTTAGACTGAGCTATATATTTGTGTACATACAATTCCTGAGGTAGTATGTTCATGGAGAAAGGTATAGATAAATATTTTTGAGTGGATTATATTAAATCATTTAAATCAAACCTGCACATATATGTGTACTTTTTTTTACTTAGGATACAAAAGCTGGATAATATATCATAGAACATTGTCTTCTCAACCTTGGCAGCTTTAATATATGTGGACTTCTGGAATTCCCCAGCCAGCAAGGGGAATTCTGGGAGTTGAAATCCACACATCTTCAAACAGTCAAGGTTGAGAAACATTGCCATAGAGCTAGGATGCATTGCTACAAGTTCTGCATTATGGTGAGTATAATTCTCCATTGAGGGTATTCTATTTTATAAACGCAATACCTCATACTGACCAGTATGAGGAATGAAATCATTTTGTATGTTTCAGATTTTACTTCATACATAATTAGTTGGGTTTATATAATATTGTTGAATGAATCAGAGGCAAAGAGAAGCTGTGGATTACTTATATAGATAAAATAAGACCAATATTGCTAAATTTGAATTTGATTGGAAGGTAGTTGTCTTGTCACAAAAGACCACTTTTTGTAAGTATACTTATTTAGCAAAACAGCAGTGATTAATGTTAAAATTTTGTTTATTGATTGTTGAGATTCAGTACTTCAGAATAAAACAGACTTAAAGTTTATGGTTTATATGATGGCCCCATTTTGCCTCCAGGAAGATCAGTTAAGAATAATCTGCTTAAATTTAAGTGTTTCCAAAAATGTGTGTGTGAATGCAAACATTTTAAAAAATACGATTTGTATCTGTATATGGAATTTCTAGAGTCTTGAATATAACATTTTTCAACCAGATGTATTACAGATACCTACTTTACTTTTTAAATTTTATTTCTAATTTTTTTGATATTTTAAAAATCTAATAATAGCTTTGTGGATGGACATTGTGAAAATGGTTAAAATCAATAGAACCCTGCTAGAACTAATCAATGGTGTCCCTACTTTGTAAGCTTCAACCTAAAATCTGTCCAGCTCAGTAAAACCAGTAATTTTGAGGGGGGGGGGCAGGAGGCAAGTCTGTGGGAACACAGGAGCATCAGTTATAGGCCAAGATAATTTGCTTAGAGAAAGGAGACTGTTAAGTAAATCCAATTTATGAAGCAGGGAAAGCAGTAAAGCTGATTAACAGAGGTGAGGAAAACAATTAGATTGAAATGCTGCAATTCATGTTCCATAACTTTGAAAATAAAATTCTTTCTAGGAATGGAAGGCAAATGGACTGTAACAGTCCCTGTATTTGCTAATGCTTCCAGGAGAAATCTTTGAAACACTTTAGAGACACAATGCAATACTTTTACAAGCAAGAATATCATGATTCTGGACTATGTTAACAGAGTCCTATTGTTTATTCCTGGGAAATTTATATTGATGTTAATCATGCTATGTTGAACAAAACTTTTTTTTAAAAAAGAGAATATTCTAGAAACTCTTTTCTCCCTCCCCCTCATTTATGAGCAAGTTAGCTCTTTGTAACTAATTTCATATAGTCTTAGTTGGGTTTCTGGAGAGGAAATCATTTCCTATCAGATTGTAACTGGGTTCAAGGGAAAAAAAAAGACAAATGTAACTCAGCAAGTTTGACTATTATCACCACCTTTTTTATTTATAGTATTAAGAATTGCTTTCATAGTTCCTTCATAATTGTAATAGGAGTTTTTTAAGAGTTTGCAATCTTGGAAACTAGATTCCCCTCCATTCCAACATAACCCTTGTCATTTTCCCCCTTATATGTCATGAAAGGTGCAGGTGCATACCTGAAGAACATTCATTTATGCAGAAATGAGTAATATTGCACCAGTTGTTTAATCTGAAATTTTGTGTGCAGTTACTTCTCATTCTTCATGACCGGATAATTTCAGCGGGATTATCTGTCGGTAACATCTTGAGTTTTTGTAGGATTACGCTTGTACCATCAATGGTAGTATCTAATCACTGTGTCTTTTGTCAGACTCTTTTCAATTGCCTCCAATTTTGGTCTCCAATTGGGTGCATTTAAGCTTCATTATTAGCACTCCCAGCAAGCAGTTCTTGAGTGATTTGTTGTTCCCATGCTCCAAGATATTATCAACAAATTTCTCCAGCACAACTCTAAAGCATCCATTTTTCTTTGTTCAGCCTTTCTGATGACAGCTTTTACTGTCACATATTTTTTAACTTAGAAAACCAGGGATTTGATAATGCATATTTTTGTTTTCTGTTTTCCTATTCTGGCATTTTGTCCAAATTTATCATGGTCCTTTTCCAAGCAGCAGACATCTCTTTGTTTCATGACTAGAGTGAATCCTGAATTTTGGAAAATAAAGGCTGTTAGTACTTTAGCTTTACCCAGTTTCATTGGGCTGTCATTGCCTCTTGACATAAACTTAATAGATTTTGTTTTCAAATGAAAAACAGAGAAGCATTTTTTTCACTTGCAACAATTCCTTAAGTTTATATTAAGCTATATTCTAGCATTATCACCAGCATTCCTGACTGTATGGTTTGCATATAATTTAAATAAGATGACAGTATACAGCTTGTGCCATATACCCCTATAGGGTCACCCAAATATTCTGGGCAACAATCTTAGGCCAGAGGTGAAACGCTTCCGGTTTGGATCGGATCGCCTGATCCGGTAGTGATGGAGGCGGGTGGTTCGGAGAACCGGTAGCAAAAATCCCTGCCCCCCCCCCCATTCCCAGCTGAGCCACACAATCATCAGAGGCTTTTTTTTTTATTTTTAAAAGCATTTTTTCTACAACCTCTTCGGAGATTTTTTTTTCTTTTAAATGCCTCTGACAATCCAAGCTGAGTTGTCTGATCGTCAGAGGTATTTAAAAGAAGAAAAGTCTCTGCTGATCAGGCAACTCAGCTGGGATCGTCAGACCCTTTTGAAAGCATTTTTTTACGTCTTCCCCGAAGAGGTTGTAGAAAAGATGGTTTTAAAAGTTTTTTTTTAAATGGCCACGCCCACCCAGTCACATTACAAGCCACACCCACAGAACCGGTAGTAACAAATTTTAGATTTAGATCACCATTGTCTTAGGCATACTTACTATCCTTTTAATTCACATGGAGTTGTGCAAAGGTAAGTGCTTTTAAATACTATGTTTCAATTTTTATGCTGTGTGTATTTTGTATTATTGTTCAGATCATAAATTTTCTATTTTCGCTTAAAGCTGACTCTTAAGCAAAACTGCACACGATTTCAGAGAGCCAATAATTAGCATTTTTATTACTTATTTTTTGTATAAGACCCAAATACTTATTATGATAATCATTATTCTGTTGTTTTGCATGTACACTGAGAACTTCTGCATTGGAGATAAATTCCTTGTGTGTCTAATCACACCATACTTTATTGGCTAAATAAAGCTATGCTAGGCTATGCTATTTATTCTATTCTATTCTTATATTCTATTCTATTCTGTTTCTACTCTACTCTGCTCTATTCTAATATTCCAACCTGTTCTTTCTACTTGCTTTGCTTTACTTTAAATAAAAAGGACTGGCATTGTGGGAATGCATGCCTCCCACCTTCCCAATACAAATCTCTATTTTTCATGCAAGGATAAAAAATATAATACTTCTGCTTTCAATGTAAGCTGCCTTTTTTCCCCCTCCAAGCCATCAATACGTGCTGTCCTAACATGCCATTTTTCAATCTGTGTAAAAAGTCTGTTGCCTGATAAAGCAAGCTGTACTGAAAATCCTTATCACAGGATTCCCACATTAGTATTTGGGTCTTATACAAAAAATAAATATGCCCTGACTCAGAAAGGGATCACATAGGTCTGAAAGAGACTCCAAAGAGATGCAAATAAATAAAAGTGTGATTCATCTCCCTACTTTTGCAGCAGGATTGCATACAAGAATTTCCCTTTCAAGAGTATAATTCTTCTGATCCGTTTGATCTGAAGCCTGAATATGAGATATTCTCCCATTTGCAGCTCTCGACAACTCTGTGGTTATTACTTTTCAAAGAGGCGTTTTCTGGTGCAGTCACAGACAACAGACATTATTGTTGAAAAATTGAATAGAATAGTGAATAACAATTGGAAATTATCAGGGACTATGTAACAGTCATGTTGTCTATCCAGGTCATAGGCCAGGCCCTTCTTTCAACAATACAATACCTTTGTATGTAATGATCAAATAGCTAACATTCTCCCAATGAGTGTTATCCAACTGCTGGAATTCAAGCCTAATTCTCATTGCTGAAGAAATGTGGATAATCACTGCAGTCTGGATTTAATTATTTGTATATCAGATTTTATGAAATGTGCAAATTAAATGGCGCAAGAAGCGCTCTCAATGTGCAACCCACTTTTCTTTAATGTATGGCAATCTCTGATTTCCTATTCTTTGAGATGAGGTATCGTTGTTTGGAAAGAAACATGAGGTATTAGTAAAGTTGTGCAATTTCTTATCAATTCATAATATTTTATTCAATAATAAAGAACAGATGTATTTGTGAGAAATACTTCCACCATAATAAAAAAAGAAGGAAATGACTGAGTTGTTTTTCCTCTCAACTCAATCAACATTTTGCTTGGGAATTTATTCTTTTTTCTATAGCTTGAAAACACAAGCACCACAACACAATTTTTTATAAATTCTCAAACTGATAAAACTTACATCCCTCCAAATCCCTCTTTCTGTATATTTGCTCCCCATGCATAACACCTTAAAATGAATCCAGCTTTTGATGACAACTCTTATCAAAACATGGAATAATCTTACTATGTGAAGTGTATGGAAGTGTGCAAGTGGCCAATTAATTCTTGACAGTTTGAAAAAGTTATTTGACTTCATGTGCAAGGTCAAATAACACTGTGAATGAAATGCTTTTATTCACAAACTAGGTATAATCCCACAAAGGAACATAACAAGTGAGGATCCATTTACAGAACTATTTAGTGCTATCCAAGATCATTCGCTGGATCTGAATAGTGCAGAGGCATCTTAAAGAAACCGGTGTATTTTATCGTTATGTCAGACAGGACCAGCTTTATACCCATGTAATTCATTGCACTTCAGAACAGAAGGTCTGTTTCCTACTCCACAAAACGTAACAGGATGTTCATGCATGGTCACAATCTTCTTTCTAATTGGCCTGCTCTTGCTCACGCTCTCCACATCCATAAACCAATATATACAAATGACTGAGTTTTGCCATTTTCAGAGGAGGCATCAGTCAGCCTTGACTGATTCCACTGCAACCCAATCATAGCTTTCCATGTCATCTTCAAATAATTGCATTTAATCCTGCCTCTCTATCCACATCTACTTGGAGATAAAGTCCAGTGAATTGAATGGATTTCTAGGTAAAGTATTCCTAACCTAATCCATCTAATCCAAACATTTCTTAATATAGTTTTGAAGGATTTAAATAGCTCAGAAGGCAGGTGGGAGACCAAATTCTGAGATGCTTCTGAGATTCAGATTTGCTCAAATTATTTTTGGATCAAATAGAATTAGGGCTGCCAAGTTATTTTTTTAGCAATACCAAAAGACCAAAAATAGTCAGCTAAGGAACTGTAAATCTAACTCTTAATTGTATACCTAATGTCACATATTATAGCTGTAACCATCACTCTCAGCTGGAGCTCCCCATCAAGATGTGCTTGCTCTCGAAATGGCTTGATGCTGGAACACTGCCTAAGAATACAAAATTTTTTAAAAAAAACCACACAGAACTTCCAGATCAAATATTAATTACATGCCAGATAGAATTATCCTATAGTTCAAAGAGAAAATATATAAAGAAGAAGCTGGGCATTAAACCAGCGGTAATATAAATCCTCAGTTTTTGAGCGATTATGAAAGATAAATAACCATATCATTGTGAAATAGAAAAATACTGGATTGCATCAAAAACTTCCACTAAGTAACTGTTAAATGTCACTATGAAAACCCGGTGGCAATGTGCCTTAAAAACATAATGAATCACACATCTCCTGAATTACGTTCATTAATACCGAAGGTGTTGTCTTCTTTCCTTTTTAACAAATCACATATACATATGCAATAGACAGAAGTGAAAATATTTGCTTAATCAAATACTGAATACCAAGCACCTTTTTTCGGTATTCTTTCATAACAACTTCCTGAATACTGTAGCAGGGTTTTTTTTTTAATCTGCAAACCCAGTTAACCTTCCTTTTTTCAGTTTGGCTTGCTGCAATATGCTGTTCAATCCTCAGAAACCTGATACAGTCGGTGATTGTGATTACAGCCTTGTGCATTCATTTCTCAGAATACTAGTTTAATCTTTGCATGATTGACAGGAAGTGCTTCTGGTTTCCAGTCTGGCTGAAAAAAGTGAATATCGAAAGTCCGGGCCCAATTCTCAAAGACTCGTTTCTCTGTGATAAAGCGATGATGACTTCCCTTCCTTCCCCGTTCATGTGAAATGTACATTGTACATTCATCGGGTCCCAATGGTTCGTAATAATGATAAGGTACTGAAGGATGATTAGAATCCCTGTAGAAAAAGAGAGAAAATAGTTGGATGTGACTGAAAAATAAGGCTGTCCTCAATAAGTCAAAAGGTTCAAAAAGTCCTTTTCCTCCATTCACCTCATCTCCTAGAAGGCCAACATTGTAAACATTTAAATATTTTATCTGAACTAATTAATCTATAACCCCTGCAGAACCAAATGGCTGACTACACTGAAGTGTGCAATGTATGTAGCTTGCATAGAGAGAAAACCTGAGATATATTCAGAGAGATGAGCATCTTGGAAGTAGTAACAGGACTTCAGACTTTTGATCCAGCCAACACAATAACCAGGATTGAAGCATATCTAGAACCATCAATTTGGTCCTCCCCCCTTTTTGCGTGGTTTTGTTTTAAGCTGCTGCTGTGATCCTAAATTGATTTGCAAGGACGATAATTTTATTTAACAACCACAACAAATTGCAAGATTTGAAAAATTGTAACCCCTCCCAAACAGATTATTCTCCGGGGGTATGAATCATATATACTGTATATATGTATACACTATTTTTAGTAATGAATTCATACAGGTTTTTTTTTTAATTAAATGTAACATCTCAGATGGAATCTACATTTAAACTCCCAGAAACCCTGAAAATCCTAAGGGTCCTCCATGATCACTATTCTTATTTCTCCTCTCTGGGTCTGTAACTTTGATACAGTTTGATCCCTTTTACTAGTCCAATTCAATAAAAGACAAAGCAAAAATCAATCTGGCAGTATAAAAGGCTGACAAAGGATCTTAGTTTAAGAGTGATTGTGCCTGTACTCTCATAGCATACGGCATATGGCAGTAACACAGATACTGAAGCATACTAAGTTAAATGCACAATCCCTTTATTTCTACAGATATCATTTAAGCATCTCTGGCAGGAGGTATATAGTTTTCCTGGAGCACTTTCTTCAGATTTTATAATGTCTGAGAAACACATTAATGTTATAAGCTTCATATATAACTAGTTATAATGCTATCACATACCTATATATATATGAAGGCAGATATTCTCAACTTGGAAATCTTTAGATCAGGGGTATCCAAAATTGGCAACTTTAAGACCGTAAGCGCTGAGGAATTCTGGGAGTTGAAGTCTACAGGTCTTAAAAGTTGCCAAGATATGACATCCCTGCCTTAGATGGATGAATTACAGCTCTAGTGGCTTCTGGCATAATTAACAAACCAAACCTACATATCATAACATCTTCTAAATATTACAAGAAGAAATGTCACAACTTCATGCTTTTTTGCCCACACATTAATGCTGATAATATCTGTTACAAAGTACAATGTGATATTGCATTGTGGCTTCCCTTTCCCTATTAATAAGAGTTTTTCCATTGTGGAAAACAATGCATACAGCATCAAGATCACATAATGAATTTTCCTTTGAAGTAGACATTCGACGGAAGAAAAGTGAGTACTATGAACCTATTAGCCTTGTAATGTCTGAGTGTGGTGACTGGTGGAACAGAACAAACATTTCTCCTTCATACCTAGATTATTCATTTTTGAGTAAAAAATGTGCTGCTATTTCCCTTCCACTTGCTACACAGAAACAACATTCAAGACAACATAGCTAGGAAAATGCTGTAATCAATACAGCTCTAATTAACCCAAAGGAACACACACCCTTGTTCAACTTCAAGATGATGAGATCATCTACAATGGTATCTTGTGTCTTTGGGGCCAAATGTTAATTCCAATCCTAAACATCATCAAAAAGAATTGTGGTAAGTTTATAAGTTTCATCTTTCTGGTTTGAATAGGTAAAAGGTAAAAGTCCCTGAGGATTTTACTCTGCTAGTCATTGCTGACTATAGGGGGCAGTGCTCATCTTCGTTTCAAGGCTATTGAGCCAAGCGCTGCCCGAAGATGTTTCTATGGTCATGTGGCCAACAGGATATCATGGAGTGCAGTTACCTTCCCACCGAAGTGATACCTATTTATGTCCTTGCATTTGCATGCTTTCAAACTGCTAGGTTGATAGGAAAAGGAGTCTCCCTGTCGCATGGCATTCAGGTCTCAAACTGGGCTACCAGCTTTCCAGCCAACAAGCCCAGCGTCTTAACCGCTAAGCCACCATGCTGCCTTCTGGTTTGAATAATCCGACTAAAATTGTATGCTAAATCCCCACTCAGCAATTATATTTTTATGAACTTTTTGAGAATGCTGAAAGTCATCTCTATCCTTGTTTATTAATACTAAAGCTACTACTAGTCTATAAAGGTGCCTATTTTATTACTCTGTGATATTAGACATTAATCAGTACTCAGTAGCTTATCAATATTATAGTAGGAGTGCATTTATAGATGTAACTACTGTTATGTAAAAACATTAGTTTTCCAAAGTGGCACTTTGCAATCGTCTGTATTATACATATATACCATAATATTTGTTTTGGGTAAAACAAAAAGATATTCAACTGTACTGTGATGATGATGATGCTTAATGGCAAATCTGACTGAGAAGAACTTTAAGCTTCAAAGTTTAATGCTATTAGTACAAGCATAAACAGTCTACAGGCATTTTCAAGAAAGAAGCAGGCAAATTCTGACAGGCAAAGAGATGGAATGATAACATAAATCCATTCCTCTTATATGATAGCTTGACAAGCAGGGGATACCAGGATAGGATTTGGATATTACTACATACTGCTACACTGCAGTGCATCCCAACTGTTTTCTTGCCAGAGCTGTCAGAAACTGCATTAATTTTAACTTTTGTGCCAAGTTCATTTAAAAAGAATCTCATAGTTTATTAGCTACTGCAGGTTTTGCTAATCAGAATGAAACTAATCTATGGGAAGAGGAATCCAATAAACAGCTCTGTTGCTCCACTAATGTGTGTTAAAATACGCAGCTTGGATTCTCCCCAAGTCATGGTTCCTCTTAAAATGCTCTGTTTTCAAAAACCAGACAACACTGCAAGATTCCTGAATGACTTCATCTATTAAGAGTTGGCAATCTTTCAAAGACGTGGTTGATCCATGAATGAAGATATGACCAAGGCAGTTG